GAATTAGATGGATTTAAGCGATATCATCAAATTAATATCGTGGCTGAGCAACACCGTGAATATCACCAATCTGATATTCCTAGAGATGAGAATCGATACTAGAGATGAGATTTTCCGCGAATGCAAATAATCACCTTCATGTCGTCGCTAATAAGCGGTGAGACTGCTGTCCATAAAACACTTATAAACGTCGGCACATTCACAAGGAACATTCGATCGACCCATCGTCTTGAATTTTCAAAATTTCATCACTAATTCAACACTGAATTCAACATTACATCATCTTTGCCTATCACAGATCGAAATCTTATCGCTTTGTTCAGCACTATATCTATCGCAGAACAAGGATAAAATGCACTGTGACATCAGATAAGGGTGATGTCGAAATTGAAGGATATATAACGCACACAGCAGTTTTCACATCAAAACATTGGCAAATCAAAATAATATCTCTTTGGAATTTAACATTTTGAGAAGTTCATCTTTTTGACAAAATCCAGCCACATTCTATTACATTCATTCTCTTGTATCTTCATCAGTTTAAGAAATACACCGATACAACGGCAATCAATCACCTGTAGTGATTCAATACTTGAACCCATAGGTTTCGGAACGGTCCGGTCACAATTGGTATCAGTGTTGGATCGAAATCTAGCTTGTCCACATCGAATATGAAATAAACGTGGCACTGCTTACCAGTTTGAGCTTCTAACTGCAAATTTCACATACCAATGAGAATATGATCGCTTTTTAGATTGTTTACAACTGATTTCTATGCTGTTGAGAAGATAATGCAATGTGCCTTCGTTTTGTAATATATCGCATCGATTTTCAAAGCCGACTGGGGCATAACATAGTTAGATTTCTCTGAACGAGTAACGCTATGAATAGAATAGGAACGGCTTGCTTAAACAACTCGCAGATTTTCTTAAAATCACCAAATTTAGATATTTTCGTTCAAATGTGATAGAAATTCGTTATGTTCAGCATTCGACCTTATGAATGACGTTGAAGAGTTTTTCCATTCGCCTGAATTGCTGATGCATAAATTTGGTGTATTCAACCGCTTTGAGTAAACCATGCGAGTCGATTTGACCAATTTGCTCTACAACGATCAAATGATCTGTCTCTTGGACATTTTTACGATTCGGTCCAACGATTGTCCACGGTGCGTATTCCTCAAGCCACGGCAGACTGCTTAGTTGATTCTCGCCAACGTTCGTGTCCAGCTCATACTCAGAACGGAAACGCAGATGTCGTCGCAGCTGAATGAACCATGAATTTAAGCAGATCACTGATCAAATTGTTGTTTGTGAGAAGCAGTAAATCTTAGGAGATGCATTTCGTAGCATTCAGGTGTGTGTGAATAATAGATTGTCCTAATGGAATTCTTCGCCTGCTACCATCAGTCTCACAATTGGTTGCTAGCTTTCAAAGTAGCAACGACAACGAAGTGACCGGCCGATCTGAGTGTGGTCATTCCATGTTTCGTGCATCAACGTAAAAGTTGTCAAATGTTGAAATCATCGCTTCCATGAGATAAAATTAGCACAAACCATATAAATAGTTTTCGATGCATTGAATTCACACGACTGACAATAGCGAAGGATATTGAAGTGGGTATTGTACTTCGGATGAATTTCGTTGCTAATCGCATTTCGTACCTATAAACATCAACAATCCTCGTGATGACACACAGCCAAACACAAATGACACATATGAAAATAACTTCAAAATTCATACTGATCTTAGAACGCATTACTGCACGAAGCAGCCAGCAATTGAACAGAAATTTTTCCTCTTCAATAAATTGCTTCCCAATTGGTGCTTATTGTTAATCCAATTGAAATCATTGTCAAAATCGTACTAATCACAGCAATTAACGTTCATCCTCATTTTTCTTCTTATACCAATAGAATTTGGTTTCTTCAAGAGCTTCAGAATTCGAAGCCACAATTGATTCGTTACTTGCAGCAAGCAGAAGGCTGAGTTTGTGAAACATCTGCTTATTTTACAAAACGAAACATAAATCTGCTTATTGTTAGGATGATAGAAATGTCCAGCAATAGTAATCAATGGAATAATATCTGCATAAAGAAACAATAATTTGCATATAGAGCGAAATGAACGAAAAGAAAGTGAAAATGAAACACATTCAAATAACCTGATTAAAACATTCGATTTCGGCTGCGGACAGATTCAAATCATGCATCTCTGTGGTGGTGGTGCTCGTGGATATGAGCGTGCAAAAAGAGCGAAATGGGCGATGAAACTGAAAACGACGTTGGTTTTAAACGTGTTCGGTCGATCGGCGTGGTAAATACGTTAAGAAGGATGATCCCTTCTCTTCTTTATCTTCAAAACATCAACAAAACAATGCATTTCTAGGTGGATGAATATATCACATAGATAGTAACAGCGGCATCAGCAGCAACATAATTATTCTTCAACGAATGGAGACAATCACATTCGACTTCATCCATTATCTTATGCTCCTATTTCAACGGAACGAAATCAACGAAGCTGACTGCAGTGAATTTGACTGCATTTCGAAACAATAATGTATGTGAGCGATAATGCGATGAGATAAGATCTTAACTGAACGCATGTTGCCCAAATTATGCAATTAATATTACCGATCGTTAATATTTCATCTTTGAGTGAATCGAATTTTGTGCAGAAATGATGGACCTGTTAATGAAATGCAATAGACTTAATGTGATCAAATTCATGGTCACATCAAAGATTCACGGTCACGTAATTGAGACAACGTGCATCCATTGATATCAGTGAAATGGAGTGTAAACATCGGAAGTTTCGTGTCTAATTGCATCGCGCAAAATTTTAGGCGCAATTATCAGCAAAATTTGCAAAAAATTCATATTTTGGGCTAACTGAAAAATGAAGTGATTTTGTTTGATATGGTATTTTTGATACCCCGATAAACTGTGATCAACTGTAATTGCTAATGATCTCTCATCGCTGCCACTCAAGACTGTTTTGAGGTGTACCTATCGGATTTGTATCCGTTTATGAAGGCGCACACTCAAGTTTTCCCAGCCTCAAAGATACAACAACTCAAAAGTTCGGATTGGACAAAGCTTCTGGTTAGGCTTAAACCTAGACTCATGCATATGTTTGATTTCGGAATTATGCTGACACCTACGCTCATACTCTAAATACTTTTCCATTCAGCAACATTTCAAAGTGTTCCAATACTGATGTCGGCACTTTCCAAGGAATTCTAACGAAATACAGATAAACAATCTAAAAAACTGGCTAAATTCTTAAGGTCGAGCATCATTAGGTGTGTTTGAGATAAGATTATCAAATATAAGCTTTAATTTCCATCAGATGGCTAAAAGTGACTGAGAAACTGCCTCATGAAGGCCCACCAGGAACAGAATGACTTATAAAGCATGGAACTCTGGAAATTCAGTGATTAAAAATGCCGTCAATTCTTATGCAGGCCAAGTTGATGTACGTTCACTATTCCAGTAAACGTCCAAATGGGCATGCCTAAATCTGTGAAGTATAATTAATTCTCCATTTCAGTTATTTTCATGCATATGTAATCATTTTCTGAATAACTCCAGCTGGTTAGTGTCGAACGTGTACATTTTTTTTTCATTTCTGAGTTGAAGGAACAAAAATTTTCAAATCACTTCGAGATGATAAAACACCTTATATATCAGCTAAACAGTGATTTTTCTGCATTTACTTTGGACATTCTCCCCAAATTATTGACATTTATATGGGCGACGAACGGGATTTCTTTTTTGCCAGCTGGAACATGAGGTGGTTTTTTCATAATGCTCTCTCTCTCGTTCATCTATGTAAGAACTTTGACACTTTCTCAACATTTTCTGGCAAACGATGCAAGTATGCTGATATTTTCTTGCAAGTATTTACGGTCATCTTCGTCCGGTTCTATTCTCCTTTCTTTTTCTGGAGTTCGTCTAGTCCTCGCATTTTGTTCGTAGCACATACTAGCATTCAAATTTTCACGGAATCTACAAGTGGGTAGACTTCACAAAAATATTCTCTGATTCAATTTGTTTCACAATTCGCATTTCATTCCTTTTTCCAAGACATTTTTTCGTATTTAATGGTCGTTGTTAATTTTATCGAAGTGCTGAAACTTTTGAATCTTGGAACAATTTTCTATGATTGTTTCAAGTTCTATGATGCGAGTTTCAGTACGCACCTGTGACCTGAACTCATTTTTGATTCAATTACAATGTTGCGCTAGCACAGATAATCATTTGCACTTGCGGCATCGATCACATTTCCAATTACTTTGCAACATATTCACTGTTAAAGTGTTTTTGATAATAACCATGCGAACGGAATTTTTGTATGTGTCATATGTGTGTAGCCTAAAA